ACTTATGCACAAAATATCAGCTCAAAAGCGATTTTCAAGTTGGTGAACCTTCCTCGTGAGTCAATTTTTGGCACCCGTCCGTACACCTCCAAGGAAGTGTCTAAAATATTTCTTACCATTTCCGTAGAGGAGTACGGCTAGAAGTTAAAAATGATTTGAAATATTTTTTTAAAGTGTTGATAATACTCAATGCTCATACGAAATCTTAAGTTTTAAAGAGATTTCATCCATAGATTGAATCATGAACCTCAAAGGGTTAATCGAAACCATTAGATTTAAATTTTGTTTTATAGTACTTGTTCTCAATAATGATATAATTTATCATCCTGCTCGAATAAATTCTTCAACTACAATTCCAACTACTCCCGATGTATCACAACATCATATTGCTTATATGATTGTTGGCAGTGTTGAAGTATTTGTGTTGTTTTTTGTCATACTAATAAATAATTCATTTTCGTTTTTAGCATGATGAAAAAAAATTATTTTATTATGAATTTATGTTAAGTAATCTTGATGATACATCATTCATTCCAATTACTTTAACGTATACAGAAGACACTGATGATATTGTTGCTCAAAATTATGTTCTTAAATCATGGTTAGAACGTTTTCGTTTTGATCATGAATATTTATATAAATCTTCATTGCCATCTCTATCAAAAAATTATTCATTTACTCAACCATTAATAATACTTGTTGACGATCACCGTGAAACACCATTAAATAATTCCACCCTACAATTTTTTAATAATGAAACATTTAAAGAGGTTTTATTTTTTTAATTCAAAATAATAAAACGAGCTTATTTTTATTATTTAGTATATAATGCGAACTTATTTACTTGTTTCATCGAAAATTGAATATCCTACACAATCAGAATCTACAAATCGAATTGTATTACATGTTAGTTCGTCAATAGTTCTATTTGATTTTCGTACATTTGTAAATAAATATGTATCAAGTGAACTTCGTCAGTTAGCATTATGGTCAAGTCTTTTATTAATATATACATCAACATGGCGTGAAGTTAGACAAAATTGGTCGTTAATATGTGAAATATTTCTTAATTGGGGAACAAATTTTGTTTCATTAAAAGCTTATGAAGAATTATGTGCTAAAGTAGCAAAAATTGAAAATGATCCTGATGTAACACATCTTATGGATCTTATTTATAATGGTACAAATAGTAATGAACAACAGCACGAAGAAGAAGATGATGATAATGATAATGACATAACTGATGAACCATCTGAAGGAATTATTGATCTTTCAGATTTTCAAAATGATCATTTTTATACAAAAAATGTAAGATATTTCAATACTTAAAGTTAACGTAAATCTTCATTTGTTTCAATGATTTGTTATCAGTCTAATTGTAAATTTTGTCTCGATTAAGCTATTATAGGAATTTTAAAAGAAGACTAGTACGGGAAAATGCTAACATTCGATAATCTATATTTTGAATATTTCTTTCGTGTATTTAACTGAATAAAAACAACTGTAACTGTATGAACGAAACAAAATGAGTTAATGGCTTAGATCGTATTTTTAAGAGACCTATTCAAAGCACTAATTCAGCGAAAAAGATACAAAGGAACGGTTCTTTTTGGTAGACCTGTTAATTTTTCTTACATTTCATCCGCTAAAAACCAGCATGAGAAAACTTTGATTTTTCGATAGATATACGTCCTCCTGTGAAATCTAGAGGTTTCTATTTATCTTCGACAAAAAATTATAAGCATTTTTCCCATTAGTCTTCTTTTAAAACTCCGACAATAGTACTAGCTCTCCTTTCAACTACTCTTATTTGATGTTACCCATTTAACTCAAAGGGACTTCCTAAATTTCGCCAATGTTATTATGTGCTTACATATGTATAAAAATAGCTCCTGGTAACTATATTGAGAGGTTTAGACTATAATATGCTTATTCTGATAATATTAGGTTAATTTGTCACATGCATTTTACACTAATCTTGTGTTATTACAGTTGGCAAAAATCCACTGGATATACGTCAAATCGCGCCTAAACTTTCGCCAATTGGCGAATGTCCATTGTAGTTTCTCCAACAACTCCCCCCCTTCCCACACTTTCGCCAATGGTGAAGAGATAGTAAGTCCGTCCAAGTTAAAAAAATCGAAATTTATATTTCTAGTAGTTTATCGTTTTTTTTCTTATTTATGTCTTTTTTTAAAGATGATTACAAATGAAACAAATCGTTATATATCACCGTTTGAAAATGATTTACGACGAATATTTAATGAAAAAAATAAATCTAAAACAGCTTTAATATCTTCATGGGATACATTATCAATATCTGATCGAACTACATTAAAAAAAATAAAAGGAAATTGGAAATGGTTAAGTCTATTACTCAAAGATTATATGCCATCTATACCACTTTGGTCAAATCTAATACATTCCGTAACAAATAATCTTAAACACATTCGTCTACATAAACGTATAACACAATTAATGGTTAGTAAAGATAAACGAATTCAGCAAATAAAACGTATACAAGCAGCCGAACGTATACATGGAAAAACTGATCTTATTATTAGCAGTTTAGCAAAAGATTTACATACACAAGTTGCTACTGCTGATATAAAACATTAAATAAACCAAAAATAATTATTATTATTATTTTTTTTTATCCTTTATCTGTATATTTCGTTGACTTTCAGTTAAACTCATTCTCACTGTACTTATATGTATGTATGTTTTCTATTGATTCTCTTGTTTAGAAAACAAAAAAACAACTAAGTTTATACTAACATAACAAAGAAAATTATTGACATTTTCTATTGATAAACAATTAACAAAAGTATTTAATACATTATGTTAATGAAATATTTGTTTTATTATATATATCAATTATAATCAATAGAATTCAAAATTCCAATATTTCGAAAATAATAGAATATAAAAAATAATTAATTCTTATTGAATCGGAAGTGATCTCAACACTTTCAGAATATTATGACAGGAAATGTTTTTCGGAAGTACGATTTATTCTCTTTGAATTAGTTACACTCGAGGTCATTTGACAGATCAACATTACACAACACCTGTGTTATGTTAATGAAGAAACGTTTAATCGTGTTAAGCCTCTTCTAACAAGAGAAAAGATTATTTAAATAGGATTCGATGATCTGTTGAAATGAATAGTAACATAAGTATATAACCGAATTCGAAATTTGAAAGACTTAAATGAGATACTTTATTTTAAAAATTGTATTACTCAATCCGAATTAACAAATGAAAATATCTTAATATAAAGATTATCAACGTCGATATAATATTCATTTCTATACTATGTCTCATAGATGTCTTTATTTTAAATACAAGCAATAGATATGATTTTAAATTACAATTGTTAAAAATGTAGATTAATCATTTTTTTAGTATTAATAAATCTATCACTAATGAATAATACATATACGTTAAATTGAAAATTTCGATATGTCATCTTGAGATCTAAATAATTCTGTTCATATATACATAGACGAGGAAAAAAATGGGAGATACATTGTCAACAAATAATATTTATATATATAAATTGTATTGGTTAATGAACCTTTACGATGCTTCACGCGTTGGTACGGCAGCATATTTTCCTTTAACATATCGAAATAAAGCAAATGTAGCAAGTATAGCAAAAAGTGTAAAAACCAATTCAATAATTAATTTTGTTATATCTTCAGCTAAAGCATAAATATCCGAATTCGATTTAATATCATTTGCTAATGTTGTTGTTGTTGTGATCATATCACTTGATTCAAATGAAGTTTGTGTTGGTGGTGGTAAAGTACGATCAGGTGCTGTTTTAACAATACGTATAATACCAAAGACCAATGTTAAAATAAATACAAATACCAGAACAACACCTGATACTAATAATATTACTGTATTATCAAACCTAAACAAAAAATTTTGTTTTTAAGAAGAAAACTTTTTTTTGATATGATTGCATACCATGTAGCATAAGTAGCAAGAAATATTGAAATTAAAATTAAACCACCAATAACAATCATTGCAATTGCATATGGATTTGTTGGTCGTCGAATTGTTTCAACAATACCATGAATAACATAACGAAATAATGTACTCGATAGAAGAAATCCATAGAAAACAGTTAATAATATTCTTATACCACGAATTTGTTGTTTTTTATTAACAGCCATATTTTTTATCTAGAAACAAGAAAAACAAGATAATTATATTCTATTCGTTATTTTATCTTTTTAAATGAATGAAGGGTTGAGTCAACATTTATACATACCTCGTGCTCTTATATTTCGTTCTTTTTTTTCCTCTCTCTCTCTCTCGATTTCTATTCATATAAACTTTGACCAGAGACTCATACTAACTTTATGCATGCACACACGTTGCATCAGTCAAAAAAGAAGCTCATCGTTATTTTACTATTCACGATCGAATATTCTCTTCTTCTTTCTACGTCTTCTTTTTCAACCGTATGTGTACTCGCATTATGGCGACGTATGTATAGTGGTCGATGAGAAGAATAATAATTATTGGCCCTTATAAGATAGGAGAAGAAAGAAAAAGCAAAGTACATATAGAATTGCGTACCCATCAACGTTCTTTTTTTTTTATACGGAAGAGCAAAGAAGAATATAAATATATACACATATGTATCTTTCCTTATATTGCCTGTAGCACGGCGATCATAAAGTATAAGAGATTCTTTTTTTTCTCTCTTCTCAACAAGCGCCAGTTGGCATTAATAAAAGAGCAGATCCATTTTATTCGATCTGAAGTGCTGTAAAAACCAAAATTTGATTAAAAAGTCAACGAAGTGAAAAGTTTATTTTGATACTAAATTACACCGAATTAGTCGTAGGTTTACTTGTACTTCATTTTGAAGGACTCAACATAATTGTAGATCTACTCGAATATTTTAATTATCACATAATGTTTTCATTCCATGAATTCTTCAAATTTATATTAATATATATTTGTCCAATAAAGAAACAATGTGTTATCTAGATAATCGATGTATACATATGTTATATGACCTTGTCATTCTTCGACATATTCAGATTATAAAATAAGGTTCGTAGTTTGCGAATTTTACAACGACATGAGAGTCTTATTTGATCAGTTCACAGCAAACAAACATCTACCTTGAAAATATCGAATGTATACTAACGCGAAATCTCGAGTATATCATATTAGTAAATATAAATATTTCGTATGCATTGAAAAAACATGATCAATGACATTCATTTGGTAGGAAATTGCCGAACATCTTTTTTTTTAATTATCTGTTCGTTTTCAACAAGGAATATAAAAATGGTAGAAATTAATAGATCATTTATATGATGACATTTGAATAGTCTTTGTTCCTTTTTGTGTGTATATATACAAAACTTACATACTGAAATTTATCACGAATATGTCGGTTTATAAAACGGAAAATGGTCTATATTTATTCGTTTTCTTTTTGTATTGAAGTATTACAAATAAAATATACATCACTATATAAATAAAGATAAAACTAATTGTTCAAATTAATAAAGGTTTTGAATTTTTAAGCTAAATACAAAAATTAGTTGTTTTCATTAATCGATCAATCTATTAAAAGAAATAAAAAAGATGAGCATATTATTTTTGTTTAATTATTTATACATACTCTTGAAATATTTTGATGAACAACTAAACTAAGAATACATAAATCTTTTTTTGTCTCTTGTAAATTACGTTTATATACTCTCCATTCATGTTTACTTGGAACAAACTGATTTTGTACCATAATAGAAGATAGATCAGCATTAAGTGCTGTTTCAATCACCTAAAAAATATTTTATTAGATTTATGATAAACAAGATCGTAGTTATTTGAATACTTCTTTGATCAATGGTCGATTGATGCTTTGCTCAACATCAGTTATTGACAATCGATGCAGTTGTAAATCTTCTATTATTTGTTCAAGTTCAATAATAACCCATTCAAATCGATTGAGAATTTGTTTTCGTATACGAAATAAAGTTGGAAATTCATAGGTTTCATCTGATTGAGTATATCGATTAAATAAATATAAGCGATAATGACTTACAGCAATTATATATGTTTGTAATGTTTTTAATAATTTCTAGAAAAATAAATCATAACATAAATTAATACGAAAAAAAAAAAATTCAATTTTATCTTACAAAATGAATATCAGTTTGTACATCTTTACTATCAGTTTCAGGAGTCGTCTAAAATAAAGAAAAACTTTATGAGAACAAAACTCTTTACTGATCATAAGCTTACCATTGAAGAAATAGTTTTAATTATTCTTACATTAAACTTTCTTTTTCTCCCATGATCAAAGGTATAGAAAAAAAACGTTGATCAATAATACATCCTTTCGCTTAATGTATGTTGTTATGTTCACCTTTTTTTTCTCGTCTCTTGCTTAGTATACACAATTGTTATAATGTAAGAAACTTTACATATGAATGTAAATATTTCCTGTTGAAAAATAGAACATAAACATTATGATGATTGTTGTATTAATAAATTAGTTTGCATATTTATATTTAGCAAAATATGATTTTTTTATCTGAAAATATCAATGTCAAAATTTCTTTTTATTCTATGAAGGTTTTCTGTTCGACAGAATTGATGTTTAATATATGTACATTCATTCGTATATAGATCCTAATTGATTATATATATACCCTTTTTTTTGTGCTTTATAGCTAAGAAAAAAATAAGAAATTTTTATTTATAACGTCAAGTAATATTACGATTGTTATAAAAAATGAATATGCTACATTTAGTTTTTCTATTATCAAATGTTAGTACAAATAAAAAAATAAATAAGAAAAAAAACTAATTAGTTTATAAATCAAAGTATTAATTCATTATTATTTATTTCAGATTCCATTGAAGGTGTTCCTAAAAGAAAAGAACATACAATATGAGAATTTTATTATTAAAGTTATATAAGAGCAAGTTAATTGAATTTTTTTTTTTTTTCAGAATTAGTATAAGCTTGTAAATATAAATAAATATTCAAGCTTACTTAAATGATTTTCATCAAAAGAGCGTGATCTAATTGGTGTATTTAATTTATCTTTCTTAGGTAATGGTACTAAATATTCTTTATTGAAATTATCATTAGATGGTTCTTGTGATGATGCAGTACGACATGAAATAACTTTTTTACGACGATTATGTGGATGTTTTTCAATAGAATTTTTATTATCAATTATACCTGATGACGATATTTGATTTTTCGTAGAAGTTTCTATAGATAATTTGTTGTCAACAATTGTTTTGAGTTCGAGTAAAAGTTTATTGAATTCATTGGTTTCGTTTACCGTTGAAGATTGATCAGATTTATTTAATGTTATTTTTGGAATTATAGATAAAGGAGAATGTTTATCATCAGTAACGATATCGAGATTATTATTAGTATGAGATGATAAGTAATTTGTTAAAATAGATGAAATACTATTAATGAATACATTTTCTTGATTTATAATCGGTTGAGAAACTGGCGAATGCGTATGAATTATAGGAATATTTATTGGGTGATCTAGTTTTTCTGTAGTGAGATCAAATGGAGCTTTTGTTGATGATGGTATATCGTCCTTAATCTTGGTGTCATTTGAAAAATCAGGAAGACTATTTACCTATTTATACGAAAGAAATATGTATTAATATAACAATAGATGTTATGGGGTGAAAAACTTACCGTTGTTTGTCTTTTCAAAGTTTCTGATTTTCTGCTTGAATTATTAGAACTAGTACTTAGTCTTGAATGTGGTTCAGGTGTTACCAATAGAGAAGCTTGATGACTGAATGATGGACGTATTGGAAACTTAATAAGAGGTAAATCTTTACAATGATGTGGACAACACATGGCTGTTGTATGAAACAACGCTGATGAATGATCGTTATTTGGATTATAAGAACTTGATGTATTTTGTTTAGCATTTCCTACTGATGAACTATTATCTGTTTGATGTAAATGTGGAGTTGGAGAAATTAAATGAAGTAAAGCACTAATTTTCATATATTTCGATGCAATCAAACTAGTTTCTTTTTCGGAATCATTCATTGATTGAAAATCATCGAGTTGTCCTTTGAAATTTTGATCATTGAATATATTTGGTCCATCATGTTTATGTCCTGCTAATACAAGATCATAAATACCACGATTATATAATTCACATTGATTATATGGTGTAAGAATAGAAGCATGTCGAAGATTATCGATAATTGATTTAATAAGAATTAATTTTCGTACACCACGTCGAAAACGACGAAGTACAGCATCACGACGACGTTTTTGATATTGAGTAGTATTCGGATCATTTGGCATTTTCGTACTTGTTGCACTAAGTAATGCTGTAGAAATATTTTTAAAATGCATTGCACCAACAGCAGCTGAACCAAGTACAAGATGATAAGGACCAAGAAAAACATGAACTGTATCATCACGCTTATCAACTGCAGTTGAAACCGAATAAACTTGTGAAAGACGATCAACTATACGCGTTAAATTATTAAATTTAAACAATTCTGTATAGAAAAAAATAAAAATTATTTTATTTTTCAAAATAATTAAATTGAGTATACCTAATTCAATAATTGTTTTCATATCAGGAAATAAATTAGTTAATTTTTCTAATTTACATGTATCTGCATCTGAATCTTTAATAAAAAATCTATATGGTACAAGTCGATAAACTTCATCGTTCGATGGCATTATTGATGTTGACTATAAAATTTTCGAATTTTCCTAATTAAATACACATGTAATTCTTATATCATGTAAAGGAATGAAGAGAAAAAAACAAAATTAAAAAAGAATGTAAATACCTACACAACTATCGTTTGTAAAGTATGTTATTAAACGAATCGTTGATAGAAAAAAAAATCAAAGCAATCTTATCGACAACAAATTATAACACGCACATGTTTGTAAAAAAAATCTATAAGTCGTAAATGCGTCGATGATGCTACCTACACGCGTTGGAATACGGTATATACATTTTTTTTTTGTTTTCGTTGTGTACGTTTTCTATGAATCATTCACTGTTTTATCATTTATGCATTATTTTAGATATAAGTTGCATTGTTTTTGTCAAAATATATATACCATTATATATCGATAAACGACCGTTAGAAGTCAAAAATCTTTCCTTATTTTTAGTCAATATCTACTAATTTATGAATGATTAATTACAGAGAGAATGTGTCAACGTACTTTATAGCTATAAGTGTGCGTTTTTTACCGCCTTTTTTCTGTCTAATTCGATTAAAGTTATATGATTGCATTTCATCTAGACGTTAATCGATTTCTGTTCGCAAAATCTATTATGCATAAAGGTGTATGTTTATTTGTCTCTAATAATTATATTTGTTGTTGGTTTTTCTTTTTTTATCGTAATCGATATTATTTGTTTTTGTATAACCTGTTCATTTATCTGAAATAGAAAAAAAAGACAAAGATCAAAAGAATAAAAACACAACAAAGATTTTGTCAGAATTATTATTCATGTTCTTATATAGATTATGGTAATAAAGAATGAAGTTTATGTTTTGTTTTTGTTTATATAATGTTTTATCATTATCTCTTATATTTGTGTGTCATGTATATATATATAATCAATATTCATATATAGAATAATCAAAATATTGCAATACGTTGTTCATTATCAAGGAAAATTTGAATACTATAGATGAATCATTCGAATGACTATTCAATAGAAGAGTCCTTAATATGTATCACGAATCCTTCTGAATATATTAAATGTGCTCTCAAGAGAGATCGTCTTTGAGTGTGAGTCATCTTTTCGAATCGAAGACGTATTATGTGAAATTCAATGTTATGAAATAATCGATGTTATATGGAAAGAGAGATATGCGAAACTATGATGTGATTGAACTGCTAAATAATTTATGTCTCATTTACTGTTAGGTCAAACTGTTCGATCTAGATTTTCAGTTGGTCGTTATACTGGCTACGCTTGTGATGTTCTCAAATTGCTATTAGTCGTAAGCTCGAACTGTGTAGTCTTTCGACAATTGTCAGTTATAATCTACAGATATTTAGATATTGTGAGAGCTTAACATCAAGATAAAACTATGAATATGATCTTTAATAATAATAACATGCAGGAAAACGATAAATATAACACATACATCATCAACTATAGTCAGCTTTTTATTTATGTATTGAAAATGAACACTGAGAACGAACTTAGCTTCACTAATGATACATAAGAATAACTTCATATATATTTCGAGACATCCGACATTTTATCGAGGGAATATTTAATCAAAAGTATCTTTTTGTCATTTGTGTATTATTAACGAAGAGAAATTTATCTCGAAACTCACGGTTGTAGAATACAATGCTCAATTGAGATGTATTAAAATATGGATCAATATCAAACAAAAACATTGCCAAGACCAGTAGTATAACCTATATTTAATGGAAACTGTCATAAGCAATGGTTAGCTGTTATCCTCAGCTTGATATGTTAGATTTTCCATAATCAAATCGTATATACATATCTCATATATGAGTCCGAATAAAAGGTATGAACTAAACGATTACTGATGATTTAAACCGGGGAACCTTTCTGTTTGAATTTCCTAGAAAAAAATAAAATTACCAGACGATCGCGTTTTATTGTTTATGCTCAGCTGTCACTATATAGAAGAATTTCGAAATAAAACTGAAATTTCCATGCGTGAATCATCATTTTTCCAATATTATTCTTATTTTTCATTTAATATGCTTTTTTTGACTAAATAAAATGCTATCAGCTGTCTATTTGCATTATGACGGTTGTGTCCCTGTTCGCCGAAAAAAATTTCATCGAAAGAATGTTTTCGTCTCACCCTCACTTGTGTAGCAGCGTCGAGGCGAAGAACTATTTTCGAGGAACAGGATGCATACCAATTACAACTTTTCCTGCGGAATAATAAACATTGAGAGCATATTTCAACAGATCCATGTTCCTTTGAAAAAAGGAACCAATATTAGTCATTGAGCCTCGTCGTAAGTCCTAAGAAGGGTTCTCGCTCTGAAAAGTTGATTTTCATTAAAATTTTCGATATTTTCCTAAAGCCTTATATTTTAAAAAACAGGTTTTCTCAAGATTTTAAATCTTATTCTATTTTAATGCTTTCATGTATCCTAAATTTCTCTACCTCTTTCAATACCGAAGAGTTCTGATTGATCTCAAAATAAAGAAAATGATTAGCTGTACAAGTGAACAGAATTAAAATCTTCAATCTTACTCATCGTGTCTAACGACAAGCAACTATTTTATATTATTCATCCTGTTCTATAATCCGTCTTGGATGATTAATAAAAGTGAATAACTGAAAATCAACAAAAAGAAATCTGCCTCAGGTAAATTATAGCGCTGAAGCTTGCCTACGTTTAACAGCCAACTCGAGCTTTCTACCATTTGAGACGCACAAATACCCATATTTTAATCCTTCATTTCGAGATAGATTTTTTTGGGTTCACTATTTCAAACTGAAGTTTTTATCCTGAGGAACTCGGTTTGAGTGCATTACTTTAGAAAACTTCAAGAAGATTAGATTATCAAAAGTAAAAATGGGTTTAAAAATGAGGTAATCCTTTTAATATAGAACCAAACAATTTCTTTAGCTTTCTAACAGTCGTCATTACTTCTAAATCAGAAATTGCACACATTATACATTAGCATGTCTACTGTTTCTTTCATTTATTTTTTTACGTTTCTAACCAATTTTGTGTTTGTTTATTCTTTTATTCTTTTTTTTTTTTTGATGAAATACTATCGCGACGATGTTGTAACCAATGGAATTGTATATGCTGTTAACATACTTATTCATTCTCTTGCTCTTTCAGTCTTGAATAAATATTGATAAAGAAAATGTAGTTAACATACTCCTTCATAGCAGTATTCTTTTAACAGAATATTTCTCACATAAGAGTGTTACATTTGAGAAGAAAAAATGCTCTTCTTGCCTCTTTTTTCTTCTAACATAAAATATATTATATGCAGTAATATAGTTGATTCATACAAAATAATTTCGTTTCTTTTTTTTATATTTCAAGTAGATAAGATATTTATGCTCTTTTTTGTTTGTCGATAAGACTCCTACTATATACAACCTTCAACTCAATTTCTTTTCAATTCATGGACTTCTACCCTGATAAAGTTCGTGACCACTATTAGCCTGCATTGTTAACTCTTCTAAAACAAAATATGTTACCTACACAAACGGAAATATTACCAGCAAAGAATATAGAGGTACAAGATCAAAAGCAACCCGAAGTATACTCACTACTGACGGACACTAACAAAGATCCTGTGACGAAAAAGCCTCGTCGTAGAAAACCAACGAAACTAAATGAAGTCATTCCCGTTATGATTAATCCACATTTAACAAGAAGTCCTGGGGGTGTTACTTTTCTTGCACCTCATCATCGTTTTATAAGAACACAGGAATCTATACCATCTTTTGTATCGACAAATGATCCTAGGCGACTGCTTGGACTTTATTTAGATAATTCATATGATTCTAAAAATAGTCTTAATCATAATCAGGCAACACCACCTTCTATGCCATTTAATTCTCGATCACCAGTTCCAACTCAACAAACATTTGCAAGATCTAATGACTCATTATCGGTTGCTCATGCAAATTTCATACCACAAATGATTGCGCAATCGCAGCTTTACGAAATAAATAGATTCTTACACAATCATGCTGGTGAGAGAACAGTCACACTATCTCCAGAGCATCAAGACTTTTATAAACATTATTATCCATCATATGCGTTCACTGATCAAGAATCCTTGTTAGATTATTCTCAATCTCGCCTAACACCTCCATCTTCAACACCAATCTCTGAGATTTCGCCGGTTAAACCAAAGCGAAGTATGTAAACGATATAACACATAGATTTGTAATATACATATAGTAACTTTTTATTCCATGAAGAGTATTCTAAGAGGGTACGTCTGCCGGTGCCTATGGAGCAAGAGAAACCACCACCACCACGAGAAACCTCTCCATGCCCTGTAATTCTTACGCAATCAACAATTTCAAATGAGTTACCATCTATAATACCATCATCAGTGTTTGCCACACCTATAAAGTCTGAAAAACATTTTTTTCCTATGGATACAGAATCAAAATCCAATGCTGTATCACTAACACCCCCTTCTTCATCAAGTTCTACAAAATCATCGCCGGCGTATATTAATAATGAGTCATCCTCAATACCAATGCAGCAGCCATTATTACCACAAGCTTCAACCGAAATCACGGAGGTAAACTTAAGCTACAGAAAACTTTTACAGGATCAAAAACCCTCTTACATACAAAATACAAACAGTACGATATACAATTCACCATACCGTACAATTATTCCCAACGTGATACCTACAAGTGTTCCACTAGTGGCAAGTTCTCCTATGATATCTGTTGCTACCAATGCTACTCCTCCTCCTCCATCACAACCAACTATGACTAATGTAAAGGAAAAGAGAAAGAAACGAGCGAAAGTTACATTGAAGTCTGAAGTTACACAGAGCCCAATAGTACAAAAATTGAACGATGAAAAAATGTTGACGACTACACCAATGACTACAAATGTGCCTGTAATTAAAAAACGGAAACATAAGAAATCACATAAGAAAGATATTCGTACAAAAAAGGAATTACGACGATTTAAAGATCGAAATCGATTGGCTGTTATGAAGTTTATGATGGAAAAACGAAAACAAAAGCAAAAGCAACAAAAACAAGTAGAAATGCCGACTCCAAAGCTTGTTGAAGTTAAAAATGAATTGATTGCACCAAAGTTAGAACCCACCCATACATCCAAACTAGATGAAATAGAGATGAATTTGCCAGAGATTATTACACCATGTCTGAAGATTTCTATTGGTGCAAATGAAAAAATTGAATCGATCTCTCTTTCTTACCATCGTCGACTTAAATCCAATACAAGCAATCGAAATTCGCCCATACCATCAACAATTGCTGACAATAAACTTGGCTTACTGATTGAAGCAGTCGAATTTATTGAAACATTGCATGGAAGCTCAAAGTTTACTACACCTTGAGTTTAATAAAGTGCATAATAGTAAGAAAACTTATCCATAATATATAATGGTTTAAATTTTATCTAATTATTAACCAAAAAAAATTTTGATTGTCCTATGCACTTACATTTCACAGAAACAAAGAACAAATAGTTGTCTTTCAAATTTATAATCGTAGAGTATTAATTTACTTAAATTTCTTCAGACGATAAATATTGATCATTAACTCATTGATGAATAAAATCAGAAGATCGTCGTTCAACTAAGCTTTCGTCTGAAAAATGCTTGGTTAAACACATGATTTCTGTAGAATAGTGGACAATGGAAATAATCAGAGCATATCATTAATCAACATGGTATGACGATTGAAATAGAGCACAAGATAGTTTCTACTTTTTGCTTCAGATTTGCTTTATATTGTCTAAAAGTACGCGGTAAGGACTAAACAACTCGAGGGAAATAGCGGATTTCAGGACTTCAAAGATTTCATGCATGATGTCTCCGCTGTTTCTCCCTGGGGTGTAACCAGAAAAAAAATTGTAGGAGGGAGAGAGTCTGCTGTGGTTTTCAAGCAGAGATAAACCATTCGTAGGAAGACTGAGTCCCTCTCACTAGTCCCCATCTGGTTACGCGCCTAGTGTAAGGCTTATTTATCATACAAAGTTTATATGAAGTATTCGCGAAGCTTTTTCGGCTTTCATCTTACAACTTAACTATAAATGATTTTGATACCAATAGTAAAAGGCTGGCTGGCTGACATTTTCGAAAGTTGTAAGATATGTTACAGCGATTTTTCTAACTGTTCGATCTCATGCAGAGTATCAGCTTGTTAGATGAAAGTGCGAATTTTAAACTCAACTTTTGGCTCATAAGTAAGCTTGAAATTGCATAGAATATTCGCAAAAGCTTTTATTAAAACGATGCTTTTTTTCTCAAGATTTTTAGTTTTTTAAATAAAAATCTGCGTTATAATAGAAATTTCGGGAATATTCCAATAATATTAAGATTTATTTGTGAGTCACATGTTATATCAAAGGTAGTCTATTTCATTAATATGCATATACATATTATAACAGATCGAATTTTCAAGATAAGTATGCTCTTTGCCCAGAGTTACATAACTCAAATAAAGATCGCAGATATTCAGAACTGTAATCACTGATAAACGATATTTCTATCGCTAGCAGATACCATCAATGCTATTTTGATATGCTTTTTGTAATGTTATTGTTTACCTGATGAAACAAACAACATTGATATATAGACCAAAGAGAGTTTTGATGATGAATATTGCAGCCGAGAAACGGTGCCTCATAGATATTAACTTTCGTAAATAGTAGTTAATAGCTGTGTTATCATATGCACAGCTGAACGCACTTCATTATATACTCGTTACAAGTACATAATTAGACCTAACTATCTTTCGGTCCGTTGTACTTCATATAGTTACTCTTTGCTAATAAAATTTTAGTTTTTTTTATCTCTTTTTAAAACACTGGTACGATCATCAAAAGATCCTGAATGGTAGAAGTACTCTTACAATCTCATAATTAGAATTTAGTCTCAATCGCATAGTATTCAAAATGGTCGGTAAAAAACATAAGCTGTAAAAAAAATTATTTTAATTTAACATCAACATAAACCCTTGCAAGCACAAAATTCGACGAACTCAAAAACATTATATATTTTCATGATTTAATTTATCTTTAAAAATGGCTGTAAGCTATTTGTTCTGTATATTCGCATGATAGAAATGAATTGATATGTTTTAGTAATAATTAATCTGCGAATCGGCAATGTACTATTTCAGTATTTATAAGTATGAAATCAAATTCATGTTTACTGAATAAATTTCTTTCAAGAATTTTGATTGACACGCAATTATGTACGAAAAATTCATCTCCGATAATACATCATTTTCGTATGACACAATAATCAATTACAACTTATGCTTATAGAATAAAGTTGAAAACAATTTTAATATATCTATGGACACAATGTATAATAATACAACAATTGTGAATGAATTCTCATATGAGCATATATGTATATGAACAAGAGGTCTAGTCTTCCAAATGACTCTTCTATTTTATGTTTAACCTAGATTTTTTGCTTTACGAAGAGCTATTTAATACGTCAGCAGAGCTAACTATAATCCTCAAAGAAGCATCGTGCCCTTGTCATATTCAATGTAGAGAATCTATAAAGAGATAGAAAGAATATCTTGATATATGCCATAATATATATAAATCACAAAACTATTAAACAATTAGAAAAGTAACTGCCATAAAATTGTTTTCGGAGATAAGTATACTCTTACTAAAACAGTTCAGTATAACCTTATAAGTTCATTAAAATTGTTTCCGTTGATATCATTTGATAATCAAATAACAGTATAACGTATTAATGAAATAAGAATCTTGAAAAATTTTGAAACTATTAATTATTAATGATTTACTCTTGAGAAGTACGCAAAAGATAATCTTTTACATAACAAATGAGAAGAAGATATATTATTATGAAAATTTCAAAGTATCACAAGATTTTTTTTACGTCATCAATCCAAATCCTATTGTATCAAGGTTTATTCAACATGTTGAGATAAAGTCATATTTAGACTTATTGAAAATGGCATTGATTTCAAGCCTAGTAAAAGATTAATGTATTGGATTAGTCATGTTTCCTGATGTATCATAAAAAAAAGAAAATCCTATAAAATAAAATATCACGATGACACAAACATGTTTTATTCATAGATCAACAATAGTTAATAAACGAAGTTTTAGTTTCATATGAATTGAAATCGAACTAATCTATATTTAAATGAATGACTGAATACTCTAAATTATTTGTATCAACTGTACATATTGAAAGAAAGTATTTTCTATTGAGTATTATAGTAATAAAGTTGATAGAATATGAAATATTCTGAAATTATTCCATTAAGTATACATTCAATTGATAAACTATTGCATCGTAAATAGAAAAGAATATTTGCCTTTGATAATTAAATAACGAATGGTGCGATATTCAAATAGAACTAAAGAGGACCTTATAATGGTACCTAGTCTGAAAACGTTACCAGAGATCCGCATGAGATGAGATGGGACAGAATTTTCATCCCATCCCATGGAATGTGTCACGCTATAACAAAACTCTATTGAAAAACAAACTTATTCCATTAATATGATTTATTAAATCAAATAATCATTATCATTTGTTTCACATTCTTTTTGATACTCTATTTTTATAAATACAAAACAAAAGTTACTTCAATACTTTTCTCTATACAACAATACTTTCTCATAAGAGAAAAAAATAAGAAACAGTATGTTATTCAGATGCTCTAGATCTGAATTGGTTCCTCTTTCGTTTACGTTTTACAGTTGCAGAGGTAACAAACATACAATTTATTTTACTTGCTATTCTTGGTAATATTTGATGGTCTTTTCAAAATAATCTATGTCTACCGATTGTTATATACAATGTCTATAAAGAAAAATATTTTTCTTAAAAAAGAAGCAATCACATATCTCATGGGAGACTACATTCCATCCCATGCGAAACTCTGATTCTTTAGATTAAATCATGTAATAAACAATAATACATTTTATTCCAACGTACATAGTTTAATAGTAACAACTGTCATATCATCAACTAAAACAAAAGTATAGTAAGTTTTTTAATGAAATATTCATCACAAATATAATTAATTAGCTTCACATGTGGACAAAACTAGAATGAATTTAATTTCTTTTACAAAAGTAAATTATTATAGTCTTTCAATCTGTACTCTAAGTTCTAATACGTATATAATTACACTTTAGTTCAGTATATTACATTTGTCATTTGATTCGAACATAATCATACTAAGTATGACACGACCTTGAAAATGGAATAATAGTTTTATATTTCCAGCTTTCAACGATTACGACTTTTAGTTAATCAAAAACTCCCACATTAAATATATTTCATTCTATATTAATAATAATCTTAGTACAATATTTACATAAAATATTATATGGTGAATATATATTACGACAGATATTATGATGAGTATACGGTCAATGGAAAGTATAGTTTAGTGACATTGAGTTTACTACCAGAAAATCTTTATTTTTTTATTATTTTTCGAAAGCAAACAGTACAAAAGTTATAATTATAGAAGGTAATTGTGTGTCTGCATACTATGTAAGTTTTAAGACTATTGTCTACTTGTATGATTTATCTCACATGCTATTTAATAAAGTGTTTCTTTACTTTAGTTAAGTGAAATATATTATTATTTATTGATGATTCTCAATGATGATTTTTTCGAAATCATACAGCATTTATTATTAAATATAATTAGTCTATATAGTTATATATCGTCATTCGTATGTTCCTAAATAATTATGACAAACGATTTTAAGAGTTTAATTCAGGACATTTATCTAACTGATAATTATATTTATGTGGATAATAGAAGGAAGATTTTTAAATTAAATTTTTTACACATGAAACAATACTACTCCATGACATCTAGCAGTTGGCATTAATCGCAATGACGTGCTTACAGATTTGATTGACGTCATTGAGACAACAGAGTATTATGCAGAGTTCTTATTATGAAGTAAAAAGAATTGTTATGTCTTCATATGTACATTATAATTCTGATTAAGTAAATAATTAATGTAAATTTTTTGGGAAAAAAAATATTTATTTTGTGTAATTATATAATAAGAAGTTAAAAAAAGATTTTTCTGTCATAAAAATTTGTTGAATATTATATACGTCATTACTTCATAATTCACCTATTCTCTAGACGTCATAGTCTGATTAAAACAATGTTAATATTGACGTTGTTTCTTGGGCTATTTTAATATATTGACAAAGTCGATAATGAACTTTTATGTATGGTAGTCATGATTTCGTATGATTAAACATAAAAGTTAAAGTGTAAAATAAATATCGATTTACTTTTTAACGTCAACGTTAGTTCTTATCGTACTTTATGTTTTGTAACAACTGTATATTTAAGCCTGAAGTATATCGAGTAGGAGTATTGTATCATCAACTATAAAATATAAAATATAAATTTATATTTATAACTTCTAGATTTTTAATATATTTTAAAAAATCCCTTGAAGTAAAAAATAAAAGTTTATCTTTGGCAACAATCATTAGTTTATCAGGCTTTGTTAATCCCTAAAACAACAAAATAAGTAATTCGAATATCCATGCCCTAAGATTATGTCATAATTTAGATTCATTTCACCATCTTGAGGGTGTGACAAAATTTAATAAATAAGAAACAAGATTTATAAAAAGAATAATATGACATGGACTTTTTCAAAGATCCAAATCACTACAAAAAAATAACCAATGTTTGTTTATTGCATCGAATATAAGTTTATCTTTTAGAATTAAGAAATGTATTCTTAGATAAGTACGAAAAGTTTATAAGTCGATCAATATTACAGATTAACATTGAGAAATACATGTTCATCTTTGACATAAATATGTGTCAAGATTTTAATTAAATAGTTTTTTTTTTAAATAAACTCATGTTTATATACATTTCTTTAATTAAAAATAGTACTAGTCAAGGACGCTGCACCTACAGATATATTAATCAATTAAATTAACAATTTTTTTTATTAGTAAGATCTTGTTTGTTCATAAATGTAATTTGTTCAAAGAGAGAAATTTAATAGAAACTAATCGATTCTTCTCACGTCACTTGTAATTGTTTCATGTATGTGACAGTACAAGTTACTGTTATCGTCATCATCGTATCTGTTAGCTTACGCCAACACTTTTTCCTTTCATTTAAATTGCATAATGTCATTAACTTGACATGTATAAGAGACATCTCAAGCCCACGCTATACAAATGACCATATATAAAAGGAACATGACTTTTCAATTGAATCATTGTTTATTATGCACTTGTACCTAATCAAATGCAAATAAATAAAGAAAAACACTATGAGTGATCAAGTTATGACAATATCTGACTCATGTTTTCAACGGAAAAAATGATTAAAAATAAGAAATATGACATAGCCAATGACGTTAGAACTAAATAGACAGGGAAATAAACACGATTAAGGTATATCCGTAAACATTTTAGTAGAAGTCAAACTAAAAATACATTTTTTATTAGTCAGAGAGAATCTTGTAGACTGAGAAGCAAAACGATTAGAATAAATCAACAAATGATTTCTTGCTTGTTATTTTTTTATTATTAAGTAGAATCATCGAGAACTTTAATAATTGTAACAAGAGAAAATATATTCGTACATTATATTAGTCATACAATAACAAAACTTACACCATACTGACGTAAGAAATATGATTTTTTTATCTAATATACATATAACAGGCATTAGTTTTCCACTCGTATTTCCTGTTGCTCTCGCTTCTGATATCGTTATTCTCTTCTTTCTCTCTTTTTTCTCTTTCTCTTTCTCTTACGTTTGATTTCTTATATTTTCCTCATTTAATATTCTTCTCTAGAATCTCCTCCAAGTTCCAACTTTAATTATTCCACAAAAACAACATTATTGTCTGATATGTGCAGTACAATCTTAACATATTCTATTCTTTTATCTCAATTTATTCTCATAATACAAGGTATGTCACAGATCTATTATAAGTGTCGAGAAGAAGAAAAAAAACGATAATTTTATCATCTCATATTCAGTCATAGAATATACAAAAATAAAAAGTTTCATTTTAATTTAGCTGGTAATTGTTTTTATAATCGTGCCATTGATGTATGTTATGGTGTAAGTGAACTAGATACGACTGAAGAACAATGTACTGGATCGTATTATTCGGATGATACTCTTCAAGTACTTGATGGACATGCATATGCTGAAAATTGTCGTGATGTAAATGGTATGTATAAACTAGAATTAATTATGTAGTGAATGATTATTTAAGAAAAAAAAATGTTATAGACTTTTTGAAATGATCATTCATGTTCATAAAATTTAAAATGAATATAAAAATATAGTTAATTTAATATACTTGAATAGTATTACCGAAACGATGTGATGCCGATTGCGGTCTTGGCCAAGAATGTCAATATATCAATGGAGAAGAAATGTGTGTGTGTAGCGAAGAATCTTGTACATCATCAACAAAAACTAATCAACAACCATTGTGTGCATCGAATAATATGACCTTTCAATCGAAATGTTTAATGGAAGCATGGAAATGTTCAAATCATCAATCCGCATTATACGTAAAATATGAAGGCGAATGTCAAAGTATGTTTTGAAATATTTACAAACCAAAAAAAAAACGTTTTTTTTGTATTTTGTCATTTAATAGAAGATTGTCGGAATGTAAAATGTGGACATGGTAAAATTTGTTTATTAGTTAAAAATACAGGTGAACCAATGTGTTATCCAAAAGCTCATTGTAAACCAGGTTTAAATCCTGAACCTGTTTGCGGTACAAATGGAGTAAGTTATCCAAGTATATGTGCCATGCGTTTAAGTCGAGATCAACGTGGTTATACACCTGAAGTAGCACATAAAGGTTCTTGTGGTAAGGTTTTAAAAGAAAATCAATCAAAAATTTTATTTTTTTCTATTTTAATTAGAAAATCAATGTCGACCGGGTTTATGTCAATCATATGAACTTTGTGTATATTCAAAACATTTACGACCAGTTTGTATTCGATGTCAATATCCTCCAAGATTTTATACACATAGTGGAGAATGTAGTATGAATGTATCAGTATGTGGTAATAATGGTATGCTATATAAAAATTATTGTTCATTATTACTTGATCAATGTCACAAAAAAGAATCGATTAATATAATTGATTATGGTCAATGTCCAACGATGAAATCTAAACAAATTCGAACAAATAAATTCAATTATTTAAATCAATTAACAGACTACAAAATGAATTAAAGAATAATTTATTCAATAAAATATTTTTGTTTTTTCTTTTTTTTTTCGCAAGATTGTCGACAATAATTGAGAATACAATCTCGTAAAAAATTTTGTTTTAATTGACCGGTGAATGTTCTTTAACGTAATGTTTTGTTGTTTATGTCTATTTATTAAAATCGCACGGTAAGCGGTTCTATTATTAAAATATTATCAAATTCAATCTCTTCTCCTATTCTTAGTACCTATTATATTTTACTGTGATTGTAATTATAATAAAAACAAACCTTTATTTGTTGTATTAGATTTTTCTTTTTTCTCTTAGTTTAAATAGTTATAAGGGTGACTGATTGTAAAAAGCAAGAAATGTTTCGGATAAACTAAATTAAACATAATTATTCCCAGTCAAAGTCATATCAATACTGCTTTCAATTCTTCGTAACTTTCTCTTAAAATGTATTTCAAGTTTGTTTCTTCTGTAAGTTAAGGATTTCATTGATGTTCTACGCTGATGAAAAGAAGACATAGTAGGATTTTATTTTTCTCTTTAGATTAATAAGAACAGTATTCAATCGAAAATTATGATTATCATTCAAAAGCTATGCATGTTGAGTTAATAGAACCTTTTAACAATCGATAGAATTTTGAATATTGCTATCTATTATTCAATAAATATCACAACAAGAATAGAATTCCCATATAAATGGTAAATAACGCCTCTTTCCACCTACGAACAATTGGAGGAGTACACTTACTATTGTTTCCTGTTGCGTGTAAATGACTTATGAAAGTTGAAGACTTTGTTTCGATCAAAGAAAAGGAAATTATTTCGACATATTTATCTTGCTATTTTCTCGTTTTAAGTATATATCATGATAGACAAAAATATGTAGCCCAACTGATGAAAAGCTCGGGTGGTGTTATGATTTTTATTTCTCTATGGGTTTTGACACTGATTAATCATTGTATTGTAAAAGAACATGAAAAACATACTGAACAACTTTCTGTTTAATTTCCTGAAAGTAGATAACTTATTCTTATATATTTATAAGTAGTACATGAACAACGTCATTGCTTAGAAATTTATAGAAGCTATTATAAGATAAAAATTACAATTGTATTAACATTCTCCAGACCATTATTAATTACTACTAAAATGGATGATTGATCATGAAAACACTAATTTAAATGAAAAGATTTCATCTCTATTTTCATGATAAAATATATATTCTAAAACATTCTATTAAATATATACGAACAGGTACATTGTTATAACCATAAAACCACCACGCTATGTGATATTATTAATTATATCTTTTGAATAGTTCAAAAAAATGTTATAGAGACTATTGATAAGTCATTGTAAATATTCTAAATTTAGTTTGTATTTTTGATTAAGATTTCATCTGACAGATAAATTTTAACAAAAAAAAGTAAAACAAGAAATAACAATAATACACACACACACAAAAAAAAATTGTTAACATTTCTATCATGAAATATCAGACATAAAAATTGATTAATTATTTGACGTTGGTTTATTATGATTAACAAGTGATGAAAATGATTCTCGTAGATGTCGTTTAACTTTTCGTCCAAATGTCTAAATATTTCAAATAATTATTTTTTCTCCGGGTCATCAAAACACTTTGCCAATAACCGAAAGTCTACTCTACTATCATAATTCAATTGTAGGAAAGGTTTCAACGGAAGTATAGTAAATTTATTCAAGTTAAGTGTGCTCCAAATTTGGAGTTTACAGATGCCCAGATCGAATAATCAAATAGCAAGATCTTGTAGGAATCGTATATCTGATCTGATGAAATCAGAGAAGGATCGGACAAAAAATCGTTGTCTCTGATTTCTTGCACTAAATCATACTTAAGAATTTTTGTAAGATTCAGTTATGCAGTAGAATGTTACCAAAATAGTTCATTAAAACTAATACCTTCGTCAAATCTTACTTAAAAGTTATACTGTAAAATACAGGCGCATTAGATCTTTCAAGAAAAATGTGGTATGAATTAATACAAGATTTCGGAGACTACGATTTTTTGTCAGATTTTGTTCAGATTACAAGATCTTATGTCAGATTTTTTGACCTGCGATGTCTAACTTTTCGCGAAAAACTCTACCTAAAAACTGTAATTATCTGTTTTTGATTGCTCTAATAGATACTCTAGACTGTGCTCGCAATACTCAAGAAAAAAAGCACATGGTTACAAGCTACAATTTGTCGAAAACTTGAAACTCGTAAACTTCAAATGTGGAGCTCACTTAACTTAGCCAGTAAAATTTTATCAATTGGCGAAAGTTCGGTACTCTTACTTTTTTATCATGATGTTTTTTATTTATTGATAATGTTGCTGTTGTTGGTACAAGTAATGTCATAAGTTTTTTCATTTGTTGTTGTTGTGTAGTTAATTTTTCTTCATTAATTTCTTTTTCAGCTAATGTTTCACTTAATAAACGAATATGTTCATGTAATGCATCTGTTTTTATCATACAATCAACATTTCGATTGTATTCACTCTGATATTTTGTCATAAGTGACATATATTCTTCATTTAAACATTCATATGCATGAGTTTTTTCATCTAATAATTGTCGTATAACATCATGTTCCTAGAAACAAATTTTTTTTTTCATATAAAAATTATAGATAAATAATAATCACAAACATTTGTTGCTATCGATAAAAGTTGCTTATCTTTAGTTTGTAATTGTTCTTGAAATTTTTTTTCTTGTGTATCAAATGATATTTTAGCTGATAAATGAGCCGTTTTACATTGATTTAATTCATCTTCAAGAGTATTTCTAAAATATACAACAACAAAAAAATTGATTTGAAAAGAAAATTTTTATTTCTTTACGTTCGAAATTCTTGTTCATTGAGACGAGTTTTTAATAAAACAATATCATTATTAAGTTTTTCGATAATTTCTTCATAAACATTATTTGTTATATCATTTACATCATCATTATTTGATTGTTTCGATATAGATGATGCATTAGATTCTTGTCTTTGAATAGGATGTGACTGTTTTAGTGTTGATACACCTGTTGTGAGTGGTGTACGAAGAAGTAAATCAATATTTTTAGCTAATTTTATACAAATATTATTTAAATGTGATAGAAGTACGAGAGGAATATGTTCATCAAGATTTTCTTCAATTAATTCTTCTTGTTCATAATCATAAAATTTATTTTCTTTATCTTCTTGCATAAATATAACATTTATTGATCGATTCATACATGTTAAACCATCAAGTGTTGAGCGAACACATTGTAATGTTAAATCATATTGATGATTGGTTTGTTCTAATTTAGTTTTTAAAGCTAAAATAAGAAAATTAAATCGATTGTAAATATCTATTAAAAAACCATTTAGAAAAATGACACATTTAAATTGCTCTACGAATAGGGATGTATCGAGATTAGAGATGTGCGGTACCAAATGTTTTAGATCCCGGTCATAGTCTTGACAGATTTTTTTATTTGGTCCCGGTAAAGTTTCATTTTTTACTTCCGCTCATCTCTAATATCGTCCTAGAGACAATTGATCCAAGATTATTCATAGAATTTCTAAAACAATTCTTCAATACTCGGTTTTCAATTTGCTTAGTCGACGATTAGCACTTTTTAGTTCATTTTTCTTGAATAAGGTCATCATAGTTAAGGTTATTATACAGCCTCACATTCAAATATAGGTCTCGGTTCCATTTTCGGTCAAGTTTTTATTGGTGTCGGTCCCGGCCCCTGTAAATTTGGATTTTTTTAGTTGATAGATCTTTAATGTTTTTTGGAAGGCCAAAGTATGAGTGGAAATGAACGAATGAGTCAGAAAATGTAAAAAAGTGATTATAAAATGCAAAGTGAAATTATGACAGACTGACAGGTTCGGTCTCGGTATATTCCTATTTACGAATAAGGAGAATACAATATAATGAATCAATAGGTAAAAGAATGTTCTAGTTATCCGATTGATTTTGATCGTGAAAATTTCAACTCAAGTCTGTTCATTTTCTGAAAAATAGAAGATTTTAGTACCTTGTGTGAGATACAGATGGTTTTGATACTCGAAAATTGTTAGTCCTTTCAATTTTTGTATATAATCTTCTCGGTGGATAAATCTCAAAAAACGAAATATTATCTTTGACTTATTTGACATAATTTATATTGTAGACTATAACTCGAAACAGAAAAACTATATACTTTTAGAATTGTATTACAAGTCCATCGATTGTAAATCTAGATCTGATAGACCCTCATGGTATCAGATAAAATCTATTCATTATTTAAAAATTCTTCCAAGTTTTACAAGAACTATTAATGACTATCTCGAGTTGACATTCTATGTAGTTGTATAAATATACCTTCGAATTTTTCACTATCATTTATTGATTTTTCCATCCACCAACTAATTTGTTCTTCTTTACGTTCAAGACTTGCACGTAATCTTCGTATATCATATTTGAGCAGATGATCATTTGATGATGATGATGGTGATTGAGCATTAACAGATGGTGAAAAAAGATGTGTTTTATTTAATGGTGTTTCATTGCCATTTAATGACATAGTTGATGAAGCTAATTTAATTATATTCGAAGGTCTCTGACCACCTTGAAATGTATTTGTACGACGAGCTGGTGTTATAAGATGAGAATATATTGGTAATGGAGGACGATTAGATGCCATGAGTTAATTTTTTTCTAAAAAAGATTCTTAATTTACAGTAAAGATACATATATTTCAGAATAGTTTATGTAAAATTAAAAAACATAAATATATATAAATTGCAGAAATGAAAGAAAGCGAGTAATTATAAGCGAATTTAATCAAATGAGATTAATGTTTGTTCATTGGGTATTGATGTTGCTGTTGGTAATAATTGTTGAGAATAAGGATTTTGATAGGGTGGTAACATATTTGGTGCAACAGATGGAAGAGCATTTGTTAATTCTATAGAATTATCATAAGTTATTAAGTTTTAGTTTAAATATGTACTTACGACCCATTGAGATTTGAGACGGAGTTGGATGATAATAAGTAACCGGTGGTAGTGGAACGTAAGGCATCTTAATAAAAGTAAATGATTTCGATATTTATTTAAACAAAGTTGCAGAATATAAAATGGGAAAGAGACATAACGCACCAACGTTTTTTTACGATTTTCCACCATATAAAAACATAGAAAATCTTCGAAATGACAAAGATTTAAAATAAGCAGGGTGTTAGAGTGGGTGTGAGTGTATAAGTCATTCTTCTCTCATACTACACACTCACAGCGTCACTCGATTTCGCGACAATATTTTACATATTGCAGAGCATTTCGTTCCGATTTCCCTGTATTTTTCAAAATTATAATCTCCTGACCAACATATTTTACGGGCTCTCGGTAATAATAGTAAAGAAAATCAATTCCGAACACCTGGATAAATTACAAGGTGTTCGGACACCCGATACGTTATGTCTTCGTCCCAGCCAGACAGTCATGACTAGAAATCTTCTGATTCAAATCAACGTTTCTAAATTGTAATTATAAACTTCATATATGACGAATGCGTCGTGATTTAATAAATTCTTTACACATCTCATATTTCTGTATTTGTATTTCGAATCAACTTGAATATCCAATGAAAACACTTCAAAATATTATTTATTTAATTCTCATTGTCTTTTATTACGAACTCGAGCAGGAGAAAGAGAATATCGAAATAGATTCTATATCATCAATCCTCACGTAATTTTTTTAAATTTTAGATTTCGTATTTACTTGATTTTGTTGTTCACGTTGTTGAGTATAATATCTTTGTTGATCAAGTCTAGCTTGCATTTGTGCTTCTTGTTCAGCTAAACGTTGTAAATGTAGTTGTCTTTGATATTCCAAATATGCCTAATAATATAACAAAACATTTCTTTTTTCATTCATCTATAGAATAAAGAATTTCTACATGTTTCTTTTGACGCATATCATCAAGTTTAACAGCTAATTGTATTTGTCTTTGTCTTTCACGTTCTAAAGCTTTTTGTTTTTTTTGCTCCAAGTGTTCTTCACGTAAAGCATTCAATACATCTCGTGCATCTTTTAATTGGCATAATTTCTCTTGTAAACTTTCGTAATGAGCTAATAAAAAAAAGGCGAATATTCAAGATTTGATAAAAATAAAAGACAAAAAAAAAGACCTTGTTTATCATCAAGTGATTTTATAAAACGATGTATTTCTGGATACATATTTTGAAGTATAAGAAAAACTGATTGTACAGCTGTATCATTTGCTATATTTCTTCCACGTTGTTGATTACTTAACATACGAAATTTAATATTATTTATATGTTCATTAACAGTATTAACAAATTTATCAATTTCATCATCATTGATATATTCCTAGAAAAGAATCTAGTCTTATAAATATTCCTTTTTGGTTGTTGTTGTTTATTTACATTTATAAATGGTTTAATTGTAATAAGATCTTGTTTAGTTTGATTTTCCCAATATTTTTGAACAGTATCATCGGCTATAGGTGCAGAACCAATCGGTGTTGGAGGATATTGAATAATTGAATTTGCATATTGTTGTGTTAAAAGTTTTTTTTGACGTTCTTTTTCTTCAGCTTCATTTCGAGATAATGATAATGCTAATTGAAAAGCATCTTCTTCATCAATTTCAGCTTGATGTTTTTCTTCTGGTTTATTTATTAATAATTTTTGTGTACGAATACTACCAGTTCTATAAAACGAAAAAAAAACAATATAATGCCTTGGAGTCAAACAGTTAATACGAGGATTATTTTTTCTATAACAACGATAAGAATAGTTACATATCGAGGAATGTGCTTTTTCATCACGAACATTAAAATACTAGAAAATGTTTTTTTCTTACGTTTTAATACGATCATAACATGATACACAAACTCGAACTTCATCTTCAATACCATATTCAAGTAGAGAACATTGCTTTGATGAACCTAATTTAATGTAAAAACGAAAATTTTCATCTATATAATATATAAAATTTAACATACATGGTGCACAAAATGCCTCACCACACGCTCGACAATGATGTTTTCGAGTAAATGCTGTAAATGATGTATGACAACGAAAACAATCATCACGATCAGTCCTTAAATTATAAGATATCTATGAATAATTCTAAAGAATTAGTTAAAAATTCAAACCATAATGGGGGAATTAATGTAATCACCATTGTTTTATTGTTAAATAACGATATTTGAATAAACGATTGATTGATTGTATGAGAACGTTATTCTATTGGATAAATTTATTGACCAATACAAATTCTTAAAGATAATTTTATATAAATATATTTTTTTATCTCCAAAAAAAAAGAAGAGTTCTATATGCCGACACAACCTGCTACATTTGTTTGTCGATTTTGTTATTCATCTAGTCATGCTTTATATCCAGTTCGTCTTTATTTTATAAGTTTAAATCAAGGTCTTATTATGTGTGCAAATCAAAATTGTACAGGAATTGTTAATGGACATGTTGATCTATTAAAACTTATTCTACCTATAACATCACCAACATCACAATTAACATATGAACAATATCAACAAACACCCTATTATAGTCCTGAATGTGATTTACTTATGACTGATATTTCACCAGAGATCTAAAAAAATAACTTGTTATGTGGTTTTTGTTTTTTTGTTAATTTTTGTACAAATGTTTTAGATCAAAATATAAATGAGTTTATTGTTGGATGATGAAGTGGCTTTAGGAAATGATAGTCATTATAAAAGATATATTGTAGCTATTGAAAAAGTTTTAAAACAATTTGAAGAATCTACTGAATGGGCTGATCTTATTACTTGTTTAGTCAAACTAAAAAAAGTAAGAACCGCCGATTAGAGAAGAATTTATAATAAATTTTCATAAAGACTCTAGAAAATTATCCACAATATCAATCAATACCAAAACGAATAAGTCTAACGAAACGTCTTGCACAATGTCTTAATCCAGGCTTACCATCCGGTGTTCATTTAGAAACTCTTAAAGTATATGATACAATATTTCATATTATTGATAAACGCGCATTACAACGTGATATACTTTTTTATTCACATGGATTATTTCCTTTATTACCTGTTGCTGGATTACGCGTTAAACCTGTTCTATTAACATTATATGAAACATATTTTTTACCACTTGGTAATGGTTTAAATTCGGTATTAACTGGATTTTTAATTGGATTATTTTCGTCATTAGAAGAAGGTGCGGATTATTATAATAGAATTATTTTATTACTTGATAATTTAGTAAATAAAACCGATGAGATTTATTTTTATACTTGTATATGGTCTGCTATGCATTTAGTTGCATCAGTACGACATTCTGCAATAACATTTATTTTAAATCATTTTGATAAAAGAAAAACTCTCGATGATCAAATGTATTTAATAGGTTTATCCAGTGATACAATGGTAAAACAAAACAATGAATGCGAAAATTTTGTTATTATTTATTTTTGTAGGTTTCTGCTATTTGTGCATGTTTATATGATAATGAACAATCATTAGTTCAACGTTCCGTTCTTGATTTTCTTCTTATTTGTTTACCAATTCATAAAAAACAATTAACAAAAGTAAATATGATAAAAATTATTAAAATGACATTTCATATTTTATTAAAACATGATGCCGGTTTAAATCGACGTATTTATGATTGGTTTCTTGGTACAAATCAATTAGATAATAATAATCAACAATATCAATTAAATGATTCCGAATCGTATTTTATTATGTATACACAGGAGATTTTAATTGAATCATTGAGAGATTTATTAAAAATTATATCGAAGAAATCAGTATCAAATATCGCTAAATCAGAGAATCATGATAACAAAATAATGACAAATTCTACTGATACATTATCATCATCATGGACATTTACTAAATCAATTCAAGTACTTCTTGTACTTAGTACGTAGTATCTTAATTTCATAGATGAAAGATTCTCAGTAGATAGTGAACTGACTATGCAAAAAATTTTCTATATACAGTACAGTGACAAGTCTTTGTCTGTAGTATCACAGCTAATAGTTGATCCTCTCTACTTTCGTGTCTTCATCGACTTCACCTAGGGATGCAACGGTGACGGTCACCGGTGACCGGTCTGAACCGGCAACTGTTCCATCTTGAGGATGTAAGTGTGGGTATTTATTTCATCTATCACTAACGTCCACCTCACACCGACACTCACTCCCATAACCATTCACACCCACGCCTCCAAGATCGAACGGTTACCGATTCATACGGTGAACCGGTGACCAACCGTCACCGTTGCATCCCTAACTTCATCAAATTATGTAGAACTGTCAAGTCGATTTTACTCACGCAGAAATCTCTCTAGATCACCGAGATATGATGATTTCTGTCTCTCTACACGGGTTTGAGGATCAATCGAAGGCTTTCCATTCGATTGACGTTGAGGCTTTTTGCCGAAAAATCTATTGACAGTAAATCGTGAAACACTTTTTTCCTAAAATTTCCTTCATTGACGTATACATAATTCTTTTAAGAACTTTGCATAGATATTCTTACCTTTTCAGCTAACTATCGTTGAATAATTTTTGGAAATAAACATTCTATTTTCTTTTTAGTAGAGAAATCAGATGTTGGACCGAATATTATAGAGTATATTTTTATGAAGTATTTACTTCTTATCTATGAAGAAGTATATCATCCCAGTCAAGCTTTAATTTCGATCAATGCACCACGAGAAAATAATTATTCACAAACGCTTAAAACATTCAACTTGCTTCTTGATACATTAGAACCATATTTTATATGGGATTTATTAATAAAAACTTTTGAAATGATTCTATATCAACAACAAGATGAAAAATTAATTACAGTTGGATGTACTATTGAACAAATATGTGGTATTATTGATATGTTATTAGATATATTTTTATCCGAATTAACTACCGAAACTCAAGTAGAAAATTTATCTGAAATGCTCTATCGTCTTATAAATATAATGAATAATAGTATGGAAAAACTAACATCAAATCAAATAGGATTATGTATTGTGCTATTAACAAAAATTTTCAAAAATATTACTCCAGTTGACAAAAAACATCATTTATCAATATTTCGTCCATCGATGGATAATTCGCATAAAATATCTGATAATGATATTGAAGATGAGAATGAACAGATAATTGATATTGATAATGAATATTCCACAGATATTTATAATAGATTATTACGTACAGATAGTATAGGAAAATTACAAGATCCAAATGTACGTATTGAACAAGAAAATTTAAATGATATTGAACGATTATTACGTCAGATAGTAAGAAAAATTGAAAAACAAATGTATAATCTAACTAATCCATTATCAGAGAAAAAACAAACTCGATTATCAACATCAAAAACAAAAATTGATTCTATAAATCATATAGAAAATGCAATTAAATTATATAAAAAATTTTTTCATCGTTTTATTTCAATATATATTATTGATTCCAAGCAAATATCAATAAATGATAAATTTCAAAGTATTTATTCGATTATACAAACTAAAACGAACGATAATCTTTCAATAATTTTTAATCGATATCAACAATTAAATGAATTTCAATTAAAATTAACAGATAAAGTAAATCAATATCAAACGATTTTTGAAGATTGTTGTAAATTATTTATTGAATTTTATTGTTTTCCAAGACAATTCTCTAATCATAATCAATCAATTTTATCTAAAGGTATAAATTATTCTTTTATTTTAATCTAATAATTGTGTTCTATTTCCAAACCTCCATTCGCATCTTTCATATACTCATTTTTATCGTTTGAATCGAAATGAGACTGATCAGATTCTGTTTTTTTCGCCAATTATTATCGAGAAGTTATGTGAGTGAACTATCAGTTACTTATTCAGATAGTATTTCAAGTAGTTTTTAGAATGGAAGTGATGAATAGGAAAACCAAATATACACAGAGATAAACTACGGAACAGAGTACATAAGTATCACAACTATTATTTGATCCTCTCTACCTCCATGTCTTCGCTGACGTCACCAAATTATTTAGAACGGTCAAGCCGATCTCTCTCGAGCAGAAATCTGTCTAGATCATCGAGATATGATGGTATCCGCTTCTCGACATAGCGTTTAAGGATCAATCGAAGGTTTCCCACTCGGTTGATATCGAGACTATTCGACGATCAGTCAATCGTTTCGTGTACCTTCTGCGCAGATACCACTTCGTCACTCAACCTTGGTTTTTGAAATTCGTGTCTTGCTACAAGCGCCACTACCGCTCTTGAGAGTGTGGGCGTCAGTATAACTTTCTCTTCTTCATCTACATCCACCCACACACCCTCGCCCACTCGCTCACATCCACCCACACCCACACCGATTAATTCTGTAATTTTCATAGCTATCTCCTGACTGTATTTACTCTATTATTAATTTTATGAATATTTCTAACTGAAACTAAAGTATTATAACTTTTGTTTTAGGTCAAACTGATTTTGATGATTGGTTTATGGATTTATTTATTTTATCATTATGTAGAAGTGATAATTTTTCAATTCAAACAGTTGGCATATCTGTTTTAATTGAATTATTTGGTTACACATTAAGCTCATATAGTTTAAATCTTGAAATATCAAATAATTTTTCTCTTATGCCATTTTTAACTCAAGAACAAATATTATTATTTATTAATGAAACAGATTTTTTTCAATATATAATTGCATATGTCTGGGAGTGTTTAGGTGACAAATATGATAGAGAACATATTTTTCGATCTTCACACATATTATCAATACTTCATTCAATGTTACCAAATAATTTATGTGAAGATTTAATATATAATCAATTATTATTGACAAATATAAAACAATCTGAAAATGAAATACAAATTTTTGAAACATATAAAAGATTCTTTCGTTTATGGAATTCAACTCGTCATATATCGAATAAAATAAATGAGCCTTTAACAAAATCATTTCAACATTGTTTAGTTTTTGTATTAAATACTTTAAAAAATTCAAATAATTATTGTTTAAAATCTCTAGTACAGCAATGGACATATGATTGTTTTATTCATGGTAAAGATTCTGTATACTTATTTTTTTTTATAAATTTATTTTATAGGGGATATGTGTCAAATATTCGATATACTTCTTATTATGCTTTTGCATATCGATACAACACGTATTAACATTCAACAATTCGATCCAACAATACATAAAGAATTTTTTCTTAATCAAGGACAGAATTCATATGATCAAATAGATCTCAATTCAAATTCAAATCATGAAACAGATAATACAAATGAAATAACATTTTCGTTAACATTTAATACTGAAGAAAATGACGATGAATGTTTTCATAATTATGGTATTGAACAAGAAGATACTGATGAAGAAAAAAGAGTAAGAATAATTATAGAAAAAATGTTTTTTCCTTATTTTATTAATATAGATTCGTGCAATTAGCTGTATAAGTCCTGGTGAAACTATTTATCATATAAGATCTCCTCCACAAACTATCAAATTTCCATCATTTTCAAGTCTTTCACAACCAATTCTTTCAAATTTTCGTTCATTATCACCTCCAATATTGTCTAAATCAACTAAACAACGTCCACCTACAATGTCTCATGTACTCGGTCGACCTAGTATTCAGCTTGAAACAAATAGTCATTTAAAACAAATGTTTACATCAAGTACTGCTCTTAGTAATTCACTTCATACACATTCCGTACCAAATGAAACTATCATTGATGAATCTAATACATCATTAACGAATGATTCAATAGATTGTCAATATGCTTATATTTTACTTTATACACAACCTTATGATTCCAAACGTATTATGTTATCTTTAAATATCATTGAAAGTTTAATTGATTTTATTCCTGAACAATTAATTCATTCATTATTAACAACATCAAATATTCAATCACCCTCAATAAGTATATATAATAATAAAATGCATGAATTATTTCAAAAACATTGTCGTTTAATTGAAGGAAAAAATTCTAATATATCTATTGAAGATAGTCAAGAATATCAATCATATTTATGTTTATTATTAAATATTCTTTTAATTTATTCACATAGTTATTATCCAAAATATTTTGATATACAAGAAAATTCTAAGATACATACATTTTCTTTATTAATATTAACACGTATATGTCATAATTTATCATATATATGTATGAATAATATAATCTTAATAAATTATGTAATAAATTTATTTAAAAAAGTTTCATTTCAAAAAATAATTTTATGTTTATTTAATCGAATTTATAAGAATAAATCAGATTTATTTCAAATCAAAATTATCTATGATTATAATAATGAATATTTACATGAACAATTATCAAAACAATATTTAAAACAATTAATTCGATTATTAGAAGAAATAATTTTATTGGAAAATATTATTTCATCAATAGATAACAATTTAATTTATCAACCAATTGTTAATCAAACTATTTTTCTATCAACAATTTTACAATATTTAAAACAAATTCATTTTATTGATAATCATCGTTATATAATAAGTTTAGTGGTAAGAATCTTACCACATTGTGGTTCAGCATTAAAAACAATTAGTGTACGAGTTATTGAACAAATTTGTCAAAATTTATGTTTTATTGTTCAATATTATAGTCAACAAGAAAAAAAGATTAAATTTAAGTAAGAATACTATTGAAAAATCATAGGAAGTAAACCAAAGACAAGGATTAAAAACTATAAAAAAAATTCCTGAGTGAAGTTTTTGTCAAATATAATTTTAAAAGGATGTTGAAGTATTTATATATATGATGAGAAAACCACAAGATAGACAGAGAGAGAACACGGAACAATGTATGTTCTTTTTGACAGCAGTCAAAATCTCACGAAAGTTGAAGATCATAGCAAAAGACTTGGTATTCGGCATTAGGGTACGGCGCTTCCAAAAAACTGGAGCCGTTCTTTTCTCGTTTCCACTGATCGGAGCTGGACCGGAACCTCGGTACTGGGTCCGATTCCGAGTAATTTTTGGAACCGCCATACTCTATCAGCGAAGTGATACTTTAACGAGTCCGATTTCGGTTATACATTGTATGCCAGGAACTGAATCGGAACCGCTCTTCTCTCATTTCTACTGACCGGAACCGCGGTTCTCGTTCCGGGTAATTTTTGGAACCGCCGTTCTCTATTCGGCATACACTGCACTATATGCAAGTTGTTTGTTCTTTACATTCTCGAGCAAACGATAATGAACAATATCAAAATGCGAAGATAGCATATTGTTATCTTTTCATTCTCCGATACTAATGTCTATACCTTCCGCATATGTCCTGCTAGTAAATGTTATGTCTGCTTAGATGAGTATTAGAATTCATATCTAATTGGTCTTTAGCATTTCAATCGCATAGAGCTATTCTTATATTGACTTTTCATTCGACTGCTATAAAAATATCTATTAACATTCTTTCAGACATTTATTATCATTTGATACATTTGATTATATTATTCATTTAATTCAACGTCTTTCATATATTTGTAATTATTGTCTTGGTAATACAATAAACAATACACAACACTTTACTGAAACGTTGTGTCCTCAACATTGGATGAAACAAGTAAATTAATTTGAATATAAAAACAAAGAAAATATTTTAGTTGTTTACTTTAGTTAACTACGAATTCAACTGATTTTTCTAATGCACGTCAAGCAATGTTAAATAAACTTCCATTAATTTTATCAAGTCTTTTATTTATATGGAAAACATTATCAATTGATCAAACTAATTCAATATGGTTAGAAAATAATATAAAACAAATACGAGAAATAATCATTGAATGTGTAACATTATTAACAAAATCGAATGGTATCTCATTTATTCATGCAATTGTTAAATGTTGGGGTGAATATAAACAACAACAAAAATCATCAAAAGATAATATTGGTGAAATACAAGCATTGATTACTATACTTATGAATATAAATAATTTTACAATAAATGATATGATTTATAATATTAATGAATTTATTCGAAATCAAACAACAATGAGTGATAAAGTAAATTCATTCTCGAAAGAAACATAAATTTTATATATTTATATTTAGAAAAAACAAAATTATATGATTTGGTGTCTTCAATTTCTTTTAGCTTATTTAGAACAACAAAAAAATACATCTATTAATTATTGGTCAATGTTAGTTATTATGTTTAAAGAATATTTAACACAATCTGTATCACCAACAGTTACATTTTTAATGATAGGGTAGAAAATACAAATATTGAAAAAATTTTCTTTTGAAAAGTTTTCATTTATTTCTAGAATATTAAGTTTTTATGTCAAACAATTACCATCATCTATTGGAAAACGAGATGTAAAAGATTTACAAGTATGTAACAAGTAACATTCATGATGAATTTCTATAATAATTATTCAACATGTTAGCTAAACTATCATTTCCATCCATATCTTCCTTAGTTGTTGATAAAATTTGAGATGAATATAACTCAAATATGACATTTTTTCAGAAAAAAAAGAGTTTCCCTATTTACAGTTGTCTAGTCAATACGGAATTTCCGATTTTCCCAACAAGCACTTCCGCCAATGTCATTATGTAATTACACATTTGTAAAAATAGCTCCTAGTAACTATATTGAGGAGTTCAAACTATGGTATACTTATTCTAATAATATTGGGTGAAGTTTTCACATATACTATACTGATCTTATGTTATTACAGTTGGCGAAGAGACAGCAAGTCGTCAATACACAGAACTGTATGATATATGTTGGGATCAAAATTAGAATTTGATCAAATTCGGGATCTGACCAGATAAAATTGGAATTCTAATTTTGTCCGGATAAAATTAGAATACTGTCGGTTTCGACTATAAAATTTGATTAAAAACCAGTAAGAAAAATAGGTAAAAGGCTAAGACTCATAATAAGGGTGAGTGTGTCGTATAGGATCTAAGTGTTAGTCTATTTGAGATCGCCAAAATTCTTATAAACAATGAGGTTTTGACTGAAACTCAGGTTTTCCATGATTATTCACTCTCACCTTTACTCTCGCATTCGAAGTTTATCACCCTCATCCACGCCTTTGCCCTCACTATCAGCCTTAGCCTTTTGCCTATTGCCCTTACTGGTTTTCAACCAACTTTTATAGTCGAAACCGACAATATTCTAATTTTTACCCTAACGTATACATATAAACATTTACTTTTTACTTATAATATAATTGTTAGTAAAGATTTTTCTTTACCTAGGACATAATAATGAAAGTTCTTGAGAATTGTAATACCATAGTTGCTTCATCACTTGAGCAAAGCAAATGGTTACGTAAAAATTTACATGTACGTGTTGCTCAATCCGATTCTGAACCTATCAAACTACCTATTATTGATTCATCAAATGAAATCGATAATAACAATCTTACACTTGATTTTGATGGTTTGTCTATATGAAATAAAATTTTTCGAAAAGAGAAAACAATTTTTTATTATTTTCTATAGATACTTCACAATCAACAAATTTCAGTCTAATTGCATTAACAATTCTTGCTGAACATGCAGCAAAATTACTTGATATTATTTATAATTTAACTGATGATAAAGATCGTTTTATTATTCCTTATTTACAAAATCTTGTAACTAATGTTATGCCATATGTTCGTACACATGTCTTATCAAATACTCCATGTTATCGTGCAGCATCTACTTTGCTTATGAATATATCTCAATATTCATATACGCGAAAAGCATGGAAAAAAGAAGTATTTGAACAATTATTTGATACAGGATTTTTTCAAGTTGATCCATCAACATTACGTTTATGGGCAATAATTATTAAAAATATGATAGCAAATGGTAAAACAACATCATTTCATGATGTTCTAAATCGAATAAATACAATTCCAATTGGTTTATTTTCTTCAAAAGAATATGAACAACGTTCTATGCTTATAAAACGTTTTGCTTTTGTTATTTATGCATCTGAAAAAGATGAATATAATCAATATTTACCAGAAATACTTGTATGTATTACTGATTTACTTAAATTACCACAAGTACCAATATTATATATACAAGTATTTCACTTCCTACGTATTTTATTAATAAGAATATCAAGTAAAAATTTAATTTCATTTTGGCCAATAATTATGTCAGAACTTATTCAAGTTTTATTACAAATTGAACAAGATCTTTTATCTGATATTGAAGGAAATCCTAGGTAAAGAAAAACTTTTGTCTTCATCCATTTATTCAAACTAAACAAAACTTTCAATTTTATAAATACTATCTATATTTGAATGGATTGTTTTACTATGTGACTAACAGCTAGTTTTCACTTTTGCTTCTTATCGTTCGTAATCGATATAAATTAAAGGGTACAAATTAAATGATCAGTAGCTTATTGTGAATTATCAGTTAAAAATTTAAACTGTCGGTAGAATTATTAATGATCAGTGACTTTTGGATTTGATCAGTAAAATAATGAACGTATGAGTATCTAAACTAAAATATCAATAGTTAATTATGTTTGTTCAATGAATTATCGCATTTCTATCAGTTTTCACCGTTCTGTAAATATATTTACTGATCGTAATTACTGACATTCTACATTATTTACTACTCGGAAATGATATATTTACTGATCAAAAAATACTGATCACTTTCTAAGAAAACAACTGATCATTCGAAATAAAAAACTGAACATTTAAATAACACCCTAAATTAAATAATAAGGTAAACAGCGTTATCTGTAATTATTTTTTTTTTGTCAGTATGATATAAAAATTCATTTAACTAACATACTAGAATATATGAAGAACCAATATTTCAATAGATTTTATACCAATCAAATACATAAACTTCAAGTTTATTCTATGCTAACGAGGACACATAGTGAACTGTCTAATCTCTTTAGAATTTGGTCTTTGTGTAAACTATATGAGTGGCATACCCTGAAAAGAAGATTTTCTTCTCGGGATATTAAAGTCTCAAAAATAATTCATATATAGATCTTTCCGTGGCCAGAATCTCAGGTCGAATTATCCACATCCAATTTATAGGTATACCCAATGTTATAGAAAGCCTAAGATCTATCGTTTGTACAAAGCCCACGACTCCAAAGAGATTCGGCAACGGTCCCCCGCAAATCTGAACTTCTCTATAACGTATTGATATAATTTTACAGGTTCTATTTCAATCTACTATATTCTTTAGATCGCATGTTCAACGAATGACTACACAGGAAATAACTTTATCAAATAATTCAAATCTTATATTAAAAGTATATTTATATGCTTGTAAATTACTCGATATTCTCTTAGCAATACCTTTTTCTGACATATATCAATTTCAACTGTAAGTAAATCTAGAATTTGGATAATATAATTTTCAATATTTTTTTTCTTAGTTTTCGATCTGCATTTGTTGATGATCATGTTAAAAATTATGAAAATTCAACTCTTGATACATTTATAACTTTTTCAATACGTTTATCAAAATTATTTGAACAAAAATTTCAAACAATTCCAATAATTCAAACATCAAATTTTCCATTACTTCGTTTACGAACAATATCAAATATTAGTGAATTATTTCCATTCTTTAATTATTTATCTAAAATGCATCTATATGATAATCTATATTTAAAAAAAGATCAAATGTTTCTATCAGATAAAACAAATGCTATTGAGACAAGTATTCTTGAAGATTTTCTTGAATGATAAACATATAATTTTATTTTCTAGTCTTTTACTTCTAATTAATTTATTTTTTTTGTAATTGTTATTATTATAAAGTAATTTAAAACATGATTAATTTGTTTTTTTAAATAAAAAAATGTCTTTCATATTATAAGATCATCATATTCACTTAGGATCAAATATTCATATGTCAAATCTGAATAGATAATCATATGTGTTCATTACAAGATTTGAATAACAATGAGAAAAGAATTATATAGAGAAAAAAGAAAACATCAAAGAATAATTTACAAAATAGATTAAATAATAAACTCATTTAGACATAATAGTAAAAACTGAGTGGTTTCTTCTTTAGAACTATTTATATCATAATATTGAAAGTATAGAATTGCAAGAGAAATTATTTTTTATAAAACAACACGTTAATAGGGTTTACGTTTCAGTGCTAATTGAAGTATCACGGAGAGTCTTGACGGGAACTCACTGTTGATGATTCTAATGAAATTGTTGACCTTTTTTTCTTGCAGAAGATTGTCAATATCATGAAAATAAACCACTCTATGTAGTGTGTAGGAGGTATTCTATTTATATTTATACTGTTAGAACTATTATTATTTTAACTTTTAGTATATAATTACAAATTTTGTCAAATTACTAATAATATAGACATTAATTAATTAATAAACTGATTTTTAAGAGAATTTTCTTCAAAAAAAAACTATGATGTTTATCCTGTTCATACTTGATAAGAAAAAGAAATATGATTATTGAATAAATAAGTCTTATATCAATAGAAGTTTTTTCTTCGAGTAATGAATAAATATGTCTTTACTTAAACGATCGTTTTCGAATGTTCTTTTTAAATAGATGATTGGATATACAATTTTATAGGAAATATTATAAATGATGTTCTTATATTCTTACAAATTTGGAAATAATTTAAACGACATGTTCACGCAACGAGAAAAATAGCATTTAATCGGAACGTTTTTCATAACTTCTCATTTACTAGGAAATATACAGTGCAATCGAAGAAGTAAATTCTATTTCATAAAGTTCCTTGGATGATCACAAAAAAAGACAAGTTTAAAGATCAAACTGACAATACAGAATCTTTTCTCTTGTCATTCTATATTAGTTACATTGTAATTGACATGTTGTTGTAAGGAGATTAAGAGCAAATAGTCGGTCATAGTTTATCTAGGATCATTCTATATTTAATGAAGCTGAGATTCAGATAAGATCCTTTGATGGTGTATATTAATCATTCAGTCATTATGATAAATTTTAATATGATAGAATGTTATGATGTTTTTGTTCTTTAGTAAATAGTTGCTAAACGGATGAATTCATCAATCTTATCTCACTGATCAAATGTACCCAAAATCAAGAACCATTATTATAAAGATATAATCACTTGACCCGCTCGTAATATATCAAAGTGAATCCGTTTAAAAACTCATCTTTTGGGAGAACAAAACATCATTATCGATATTATCAAACATAATCATCTGTACGGATTTATAAAAAAAGGAAATCTCTGTAGTTCATATATCATGTTCAAAATCTACCATCACAAAAATGCATTAATATAAGTCAAAAACATTCATCCTCTTTTTTTCTTTTTAGTTAAAGTAATAACTTCAATAAAATTCAAAATAATTCTTATTTTTTCTTTTCTCACATTTATTCACATATACATACAAATATAGGAATGTTCAATATATAATTTCAAATGTGTTCTATGTTTTTAAACATTACGTATTGGACTATTAGCTACAATTGCAGTTGATTGAGTAATCATTATTCCAGCATTTGTTACTTCAGTTGCTCTACTTAAACGTCTCATAACAAGTTGAGTTAAAGAAACACGTTGTTGCATATTATCATATAATGATTGTCGACGATAATGATAACTTTGATATTTTTCATGTGGTAATAAACATAAAAATATTAAACCTTTTAATTCATCACGAAAAAATTTTGATGAGCATGAATAAAGAAAAAAATTTGCCATATAATTTATATTTCGTATTGTAAATGTTATTGTACGCCATGTTAATTTCTTTTTTAACCATAAACAATTACCTGTTTGATCAGGAATTTCATAATAAATCCACCAACATTGAAATGGTAATGTACAAAATAAATGTACTAAACAAACAAGTGTTAACATAACAGTTATTGATGATGTTAATTCAACCATTCCACGTTGACATAAACGATAGATAACAGTTGAATTTAATAATAAAACAAAAATAAATGGTAAAATATAATTAATTATAATAGAAGCCATACCCATTGAATCATAAAGATTCTCATCATAAACACTACATTTTGAAAATGGTATTTCTGTATAATTTGCTAAAAGAAAAAAAATACTATCCATTGAATTTTCTAATGGCATTAATGGAAATTGAGTCATTTTAACAGCAAATATAAACCATGTTGATAAAATTGTGGAAATAAAAACAATACTAAGAACAAGTATAAGTGTTCTTCGATGTGTAAATATGATTTTATTATTATGCGGTAACCAAACAGCACAAAAACGTTCAAAAGCTATACAAACCATTAACCAACTTGAACAACATGTAAAAGCTAAATCAAAAACACCTAAAATAAATATTAATATAAATTTCCTTTTTTTTGTTATAGTAAATAACAAACCATGAGTACGACACCAAAATGGTGAAAGATCAGTGAGTTCTCGTCTTAAGACTTTTTCAAGCCATAGAATTGAAACAGGAATAAGAAGTACAAAAGAATCTGCTATAGCCAAAGCAATTGTTATTATAGATACTGATTGTTTTTTGAGATCTGTTAATATAAATACGCAAACAGTAAGAATATTTCCAAGTAATCCAATACAAATAATAAATGGTGTTAAACCAAGATAAAGTTTATGTGTAATTGTATCATCAAGGATTTCATGTTCATTTTGTAAACATAATGTTGACATAGAACCATTATTTGACATTGTAATTTTTATTTCGTCTATAAATAAACAGATGAGAAAAGCGTGAATTAATCTAATTTGATAGGTATTTAGTGTATAAACAAAAAAAAAGAGAAAAATGTCATTAAGTATAGAAAAAAACTCTAAAGCGGCTAAGTTAGAAATAATGATTATCTTTCCTATATAGAGATTGGATGGAAAAAAAAAGTCAAAAAAAAAAATCTTTTTTTCAATAGCATTATAAAAATAATAGATATCTATTAATAACGCTTGTATATTTCTATTCTATATAAAACAAATATATTATTGATTGAAATACTCTTGCTTTCTTTTCCTTATTCTAATAATAAAAAAATGATCACATTTGAATTGTTTCTTAATTATATCTATTAATCTATATTTTGACTTCTAGTTACCTTCTTATGAATACTCAATCGTATTAATTTATGACAAGGAAATATGCTGTCAATTCAATTGTATTCTGCTATATGAATATGAATAGAGAATATCTATAAAACAAAAAAGGAAAATAGAGAATTGATGGTATATTGTTATTGTTATTTGCAATAAATAATACATAAAAAATGTATATAATCAAAACATTGAATACAGAACGGCAAATATAACGAAGATATTACTCTACAAAATATTCTTAGTTTTCCTACTTTTGTTGATTGAATTTTCTTTTTTTCTTCTCTTCTCGTTCTTCTTTTTCTTTCTCTATTTATCTCTCTCTCTCTCTCTCTCTATACAATATAGATCAAAAACTATGATACTAAGATACAAACTATTTCTAAGATCAATGTAAATCATATAGATATATAAAAGATTACGTCAATGAAATAAAATGTTTTGATAAATATAAATAAAAAAAACAAAACCGATCGACAGTTACGATTTCCTGTTGTTTAATGTGTGGGTGTTATCTATACACATGATAAGTGATCAAAAACTAGCTGCAAAAAAAATGACAAATGATACATAAAATCCTGCTGTTTTGTCATTTAGATCTCTATATAAACATAAGTCAAACATTATACCATATTAATCGAACTAGTTGTAACTTAAATCTTAATAGGAAAAAAAAGTCATTATATATATATATACAACGATCGATTATCAACACGCATGTGTTATTTTATGACTTGTTTCATTATTCAATTGTTATTTATTAAATTTTCTTTACGCAATAAAAAAATTATCGCTCTATTTCGTATTTATATGTATATTTGTAATCATCTGAAATTATAATCAAGGAATAATCAAATTTAATTATAACTATCATGCCGCAGGGGATAATACATTTGCTGAAATAGGAAAACAATAAATTATCGTAGATCAATATATTTTCTATTCTGATCAAGTCTATTGCGAACTTCGTTTTTTTTATTTCATAATGAGGCATATAAGCATATAAGTGGTTTGTATGACAAATTTTTTACAGAGGAAATTACTAGATAGATTAATGAATAGAGAAACAAACAAAAGAACTATTCGTGCAAGCTTTTTACAGAACTAACCGCTGTGAAATAAGAAAATGACATTAAATCTAAAAATCAGTAAACAGTTGAATACATCTATTGATAGTGAGTATGTTATTATATTCATATATTATATTAAAAAAATGACTGTTTTCTAATGCAATTTACAATAATTTTTTAAGTACTTACATAAACAAAAAGAAAAAAAATGGTCAAATGCTATTAGATAATTAATTATTTAATATAAATTTATAAACATATTGATAAAGAGCAATGAAATGACAAGATACTTTGTTAATATATATATAAAATACTCGTCTGATATAGAATCAATTTCTTATGTAAACTACATGGAAGAGACAATAAGAGATAACATGACATAGTATAATAATATTATAAAAATATCCTATTGAAGGTTACATACATTAATTTAGTATGAAGAAGAAGAAGATATTTGAGTAGATTAATTACGAATATATATATTATTTTATGATAAGAATGAAGGTTACATTCTTATATATGTCTGTTCAATCATCAAATGTCTATAAAAAAATTCTTTATTAAGATTTACTTATGATAACAGTAAAAGTATAAAAAAAGATAAGAAATGATAAGGGTGTGGGTGTGAATGTGATTGCTGGTATTTTTTAAAAAGTTACACCCACATTCTTAAGTTCTTTCTTCAATTATATTTCAACGATTCCGATCTAAGCCGCTTTTTTGTGTTTTATCCGAGTTTACAAGAGATGTTGAGCTCGTTAATGCCGGATCCAAGTCATTTTGCTGACAGATACCGTTTCCTGACCATTTATTTTGCCACCAAAATTTTTTCATACCTCAATCTACTAAATCTAGTAGTTTCCAAGGTACACTACAAGAAGGTATAAAACTACTTTTCCGTGACGAAGGATAAACATATAGACAGACAAGAACAACAAATGCAATTCATTCTCACCTTCAAATTATTAATAAAATGTTTTCTTTATCATATGTATGTAAGAAGTTGTTCTATATAATAAAAAACAAGAAAAGTACAAAGATTGAAAGATGAAAGTTGAAAAATGTATACTGATTTGCTCCGCTTAACTGTATTGTTCTTTCAAAATCAAATCGATTATCTTTATCATAAATATGTTTAATATGAATTAATCTTTGTTGATGTGTGTTATAATAAGCATTCATCCAATTTGGTAGATCTCTATCAATGTAATTAATATATGAATATTTTGTTGAATCATTATAGACTGTTAAATATACTTGATTTAACCGATTCAGTTGTTCATTTTCATCTTGATCATTATCCCAACAAACCATAAATTGAATATCAAATTTATAATGTCTATGTAAAAATGCGGTTTGATCAACTGGAATTGTATTTAGATATCCACCCCAAAGTTCAAATTGCAGAGTAATTGAACTATCAGTTGATGTTAATCGAGAAATTAATTGATCAAGACTATCATCACTTACCGGTTGATCATAAAATAAATGTTTGGCCTTAAAATAATATGTTGGGTATGTTAAATTATTGAGTAATAATTCTCGAATATCATCACTAGGATTACTAAGCGACGAGTGTTCGTAAACAAAACTCAACCAGTCTAGTTCAGTTATATTGATTTTAAGTGGAGATGGTAAAGTTGATAAGAATAAGGATACAATTCTATTAAACTCTTCTAATTCGACACCATAATAACTTAATAAAATGTCTACAGTGGCACTTTTTACAGTCAGCAATATAAATATATTATTAGGTAAATTCAATATTTTCTCATTGAATATTAATGATTGATATCGTTGAATTACTAATTTTGTTGCGTTCGCATCCCAAACAGATGTCAACATCATGACAAGTAATGGAGCTTGAACTAATCTAAGTTTAAATTCTGTTACAATAACAAATAAACCTCCACCACCACCACGTAGTGCCCAGTACAAATCGGGTTCATGACTTTCATTTATTGCTAATAGTTCACCTATATATATATATTTGTCAATTAAAATCAACAAAATTACACTGAACTACTCATTTAACTCGAAATAGAAACGTTTAATGAAGACACAGACTACACAAGTAATATATTCTAAACATAGGTCTTTGTTATAGTAGATATATGTCGAGTCTTACTTCGAATTCTGACGAAACTTAGATCGATTCGATTTCTTCTCGCTACAAGATTACTATAGAGTAGTAAGGTTGATCGAAATAATCTCTAAATTTTCATCACCAGCTTGATATTCGAAATGAAGACGAACACACTCGGATCGAATCATATGTAACATGTGTTTCGAAAAACAGAAGATTCTCATTTGTTAAATTGAAATTCAGATGAAAAAGATTTCCCAATGCATCGTATTCAAGTGCTATAGTCATTCTATCTGGATCCTTGCGGTTTAAAAACTGGGTAGTTTTTATTATGCTGTAGTTTTGGTTTCTGTTTATGATAGATGATGTGAGGAAAATATATTTACCTAGACAATAACGGCTTTCATTTCCAAAACATTATCTGCCAATAATCCATGTAATCGGCCGAGAAAACCTTTCCCACCACCAAGTGCCAGACCAGCAAGTCCTACCCATGCACAAGTTCCACCATTAATTGTAAGATTATCATATTGATATGCTGTGTAATGGATTGGATCGAGTCTTGTACCAGCTCCAAACTTACCAGTTCTATCACTTTGATTAATATTAATGTAATTAATTCCTTCTATATTAATAATAATATTGTTGTGCTTTGAGCCTAAACCATGTCCTTCATAACTATGGCCTCCACTTAATGCATTGACAATGTAATTTAATTTTGTTGCACATTTCACCACGTTTTGCACATCGTTACTGTTCATTACATAAACAATGACAGCAGGCAAATGAGGAATTCGACCTCCGCGAATACCCAACAAACTATTAACATCGAAATGATCGCATTTATATTGTGAACTATTTTGATTTTCTAGAGTATTACATGGATAAATAGTATAAACTGAAGATGACAATGATGATGAAAGACACTTTTGTAAATCATTGTTGTTTGTTCTTGCAAAATTATAATTATTATCATCAATTGCTTTAGCGAAGCCAATTTGAAAAACACAGACTAACAAAATCACAGCAATATTCATTATCCAAATATTAAAAAATTTATAAAATTCCGTAAAAGACAAACCTAAAAATGTATATCGATGAAAATAAAGCAATTAACACTGCGATAGAGATTTAAATCTTCATATGTATGAATGAAAATCAAGAAAATCTATACATTTGCTTGATTTCCTAGCACACTTAAGTATATCTTCACATTCTCTTAAATATGCTTATAAACTTCTATATAAGAACATATTTTACAGGTAGAACAAAATTTAAGATTGTCTATTCTTTAATCAATCGTTTAGAAAATGTTTCTTACAAAAATATTCACAATGATAAAACACAACGCAAAAAAAACGAATAAATTTGGAAAAGGTTTATTTTTAATAAAATGAATCGAATAGAATTGTATTTTAGTTTTATTCCCTAGCGAGATTGAAGAGCCACTTTTTTGATCATAAATATAAATGTGAAGGTTGTTGATATATTCTTTAGCAATAATAGTATTTGCTCTATTATATGGATTAATGATAATAGTTTTTATTGTTTTCTGATAAGAAAAATACATAAAATAACTATATCTTTGCTAAAGAATATCAATGAATGTATGTTTCGTCATAAAATGTTTCTTCATAAAATTGAAAAGATGGATTCAATTGTTTTGTTTAAAGAACATTTAATCAACCAATGTTACACAATTATTTGCATACAAGACATAATAAGTAAAAATAATGTCAACATTTGAATGTACCTTAAAATCCTCGTTTATCACATTCTCTTTCTCGTCGAAAAGAGTCCAGCAGTAATAAATTGTTTGTTTGCTTGTTTGTTTGTCTGTCTGCAGGGTCAAAAAAACATGGAAAACCAATTTTCTGGAAAATACATTTCTAGAAGTATTTCGATGTGGGGAGTTCAAATCTGAAGTCTATTGAGTGACCATGGCGAGGGGAGGGGCAAAGGTCAAAAAAACATCGAAAATCTATTTTCCACGGGTTTCAATTGTTTTTTCAGTAAATGTGAAGAGGATGCATTTCTACGAGAAAGAGCTAAGCGAGTCCTCGAACGAGGGTTACTTATATTTTCATCATTCTTTTTACTAAACGAATATTTAAAACAATGAGGATGAGTGTGGGTATTTTTTCAAAAATCTACACCCATACCCTCGCTTGTATATAATATATCTTCACTTAATTATTTCTAACTTTAATTGTTAATACTAGTATCGCATGTTTTAACTATTTCTCTTACTTTAACATTTTTTCCTCTTTTTCTTTTTCTTTTAAAACTTATAACAATAACTAGTAACATTATAATTATAACAACAGCAACAACAACAACGATCATAAATAATAACAAAATAATTAATAACAACATAACTAACGGTTTCATTTTAATTTCTAATATCTTATTATCTTTTTATAGATTTAATTTAATTTAATTTAAATAATAACGTTCACAATGTCATTCCTAATGCTGTGTTCAGTTCGAACACGAAAGCTCGAATCCCCTCTATTATTTCTGACTGAAACAATATTAATTTAAAATAATCTTTGCAGCAGTTCTCTCTTGAGGGTGTGAGTGTCTTTATTAACTCTAAACCCATACACACACCCACGCTCAAAATAGCCGCTTCCTTGCTGAATTGTACGATCTGGGTAATTATGTTACGAACAAAAATCAATTTCAACTTGTTTTTTTCAAATGAGAATTTATCAAAGTTTCGTTTTCAGAACGAAACGATTGTTGCTACCTATTCAGAACAAGGTGGTAGATTCATTTGCGATTTGAATTTTAATAATAAGAACACTGAAAAAATTAGCATAAGTATGGACGATTATTACAAGAAAAATAAAAAGTAAATTTATTAGAAATTAAATTGAAAAATTTTATTAATTTGTTTTAGAAAATAGTCCATTTTAACGATTTAGTTAGCTTTCTAGATGGCAAAATCCGCAACTTTAGAAGAATAATAATCAACCAAATCCTGATGCGACTTTATAGTCGTTTAATATATTTCTTTTTTTTCTCTATCATCGTACATGCCAGTTTATTCATTTTATTTTCTTTGATTTTTTTGTATCTGTTATATGTATATTCAAGCAAAGTAATTCCTATTCTATCTTTATTCACAGAACAACAAAAAAATAAATAAATCACTATTTTTTCTTTTTCTTCTATTTCTTTATTCTGCTCTTAGCTCTTTGTTATGGAAAACCATATGCAGCTAAACAAATATTAAATGTAAATTTATT